ACGCAATACTGTATTAAGCCGGCCTGGGGCCAACCCCAGCTCCCCTGTAACTGTAATCTCAACTACATTTCTTCGGGGACCATTATAAAAAAAATAAAAGGTGCTCTCAGAAATTCCCTTTGTTTTTATATCTGCAGAGGAAGACCTTTGACCCACACAGTGGCGGCACTGCGGGTGCTTTGGATAAAAAGAAGAGCGAGCTAGGCTTACGTCACACATTAGTCAGGCGGCGCAGATCCCGCGTGAAATCATACGACAGGTCGACTGTCGATTTCTACGCTGTCCACCGTATCCTCCACAAGAGGGTAGTGCAGGGACGGTGACTTACGCAGCCACCCACGTGCTGCATGTGTTATGGGAGTGCAAACCGAATAGCGTCTGTCGTGGGCTGATCCGGCCTCTGTGTTGGCCCAGTGCATCCACCACGCAGCCCTTTTAAGGCGTGAGGTCACACTTACTGCCACAAGTGCTGCAGCGGAGGCTAACGCGACTATACGTGTGCCCCTGTGTCGCGTCATCCATAGCGCCTATCCCAGTCCCAACTGACCGACAGGCTTGGATAGTCGACTAATGCATGGGAGCAGAAAGAGTGACTGAGGTCTACACTGGGGTATCCATCGCCACCTCAAACCAGCCTATTCCGTTGCGCATGAGCCGCAGCTTCGAAGTTTGCCAACTGGCGGTATAATTCAGTATTTCTCGGGTTTGCCAATCAGACTCAATGTTTCTTTCTTACTATAGGCTTCATGATACATTCACTCTTGGGAAATTCTATTTGCCCTATTAAAGACCTGGTACATCCAATAAAGACCAAGCTGTGTATGTAAGGCGCTTAGACAAGTTGTTAACCTTTCTCAGCTGCTGAACCCGAGTCCGCTTCTAGTCGTCTGAACACTATCTTGCCAAGGGAGTCCGGTAGGTGGGATAGGCGAAAGCGAACAAATCCTCCTCATTATAAACTAGTTTAGGCGCAATGCACAGCTCTGCGCCTTTCCCTTTGTGGGGCATCCATTGTACTCCAAGTCGTTTGGAACGGTCAAACTGTCGTGTCGTCTTGGGTGTTTTTCGAAGAGTATACGTTTACGACCAACAGTCAATGAGATCCTAGCTGTTCCTGTATACTATCTTGCTGCCATACTGACTGATTCTTTGCTGAAACTTTATACGTGTATCAGGAATTTTCTTCTTGCGTAGGTATCTGCTTTGCTGCGTTTTTTGACATCTTCGATGTTTAGTTCAACCGCCCTAGATCTAAATGAGCACTGTCTTGGGTACTCCAGATGAATATTAAATTTGCTCTCCTCAACTCTGCTTTCTTTTCCAGATTCCTTATTTTTTGCATTTTTCCCATCCGTTTCACACAGTCCCAACTCCGTGCCCTTCTCAAGGCCAGCCCATTGAACTCTCCGGGTTCTCCTCCCGGAAAGTAGCACACTC